AAACTTTTCAGCAAAACACAGCAAAGGCAGACAGAGTAACGACCTAACAACCCTCTATCCAGGATGCTACGCATGCCTAGCCCCAGCAGCTGGTCCACGGCCCAGGGACAACACAGCAAAACTCCTGAAGATGCAGACGCAGGCAAGGACTTTCCAAACAACCTGAATTACACAAGAAGTAGCGTCAAGAATCAACAATTGGGATCATGCCAAATAAAAAGTTTCTGCCTCAAAGCAAAGAAAACCCACAGAGCAAACAGACAATCTATAGAATGGGAAAAAAATTGCTAGCTGCTCTTTGGACAGAGAACTAACAGCCAGAATACATAAAGAACTCAGAAAAAAATTAGATGCTCTAAATTAGATGGGCACTGAAATGGATGAAGTATAAAGGGCCAAAAATACATAAAATTTTTTTTCAACATCTCTGGTCATTTATGAAATGCAAATTAAAACACTGACATTCAGTCTTGCTCCAGAAAGAATGCTATCATCAAGAAATCAAATGCTAACAAATGCTGGTGAGGCTGCGGGGGTGGAGAGGAGCCTTCCTACATCATTAGTGGAATGTAAACTAGTACAATCATCATGGAAATCAGTATGAAGAAGCGTTAAAAAATACAAATAGAAATTCCATTCAACTCAGCTCTTCTCCTCCTAGGTATCCTCCCAAAAGAATTAACCACCACATAGTATATAAATTTTTTGACAGGTTCTCGCTGTGTAGTTCAGGCTGGCCTCAGACTTGCCGCAGTCTTCCTGCCTCAGCCTCCCAAGGGCTGAGACCACAGACATGCACCACCACCATGCCCGAACAGACCGCATATTATAATGATCCATGCGTACCCATATTTATAGCAGCACAATTTACAATAGCTAAATCCTGGTAGAGCCCTATATGTCCATCAACGAATTAATAAGATGTGGTATTTATACACAATGGAGTGTTACTCTGCCAGTAAGAAATATAAATTTAGTCATTTGTAGGAAAATGGAGGCACCTCGAGACCACAACATTCAGTAAGTCGGACACACAAACTTAAATACCCATGGCGGCTTCTACATGAGGAGCCCAAAACAGAAATAAAAAGAGCAAGATAAAAAAAAAAAAAAACAGGGAATAGGAGAAAGGAAGACAGATATTTTGCAAAGGGATGGGGATGGAATGATGGAAGAAAGGGAAGGGAGTAGAGGGGAAGAAAATTTAAAAAATCAGAATGCACTGCATTCACACACCAACTGCCCATAACAACACAGTCACCACGCACTGCAGCCCTGTACCAATAAAAATAAAACTAACACACATGTAATTATCCTACTCGACACTAAAGCCGTGCCTTTGGCATTACTGTTTTAGCCAAACAGAGATCAAATATTCCTTTGCTGGACAGAAGTCAGTCTCAGCTTAGCGATTATCTGCATTAGCGTCTCATCTTACAGAACTTGAGCTATAATCATCATTGTTCAGAGAGCCCTGCCATGAGGATGACGTTTTCACGGATGCACAGTCATCTTCCTAAGAATGAATTTATCTTAAGGAACCCAGACATCATCACAGTTAGAACTATGGCTCGGAACTGGCAGGGACACACAGTACCGTGGCTAGACTGTATTTCTCCCTGCTGTTCCAACCTGCAGGAAAAATGAGCTCATGTGGTGATGCAGTGGCTTTCAGAGGTGAAGGTTCGGAGCCTTTCCAAAGCTATGGGCCTTGCCACCAGAAGGCTGGTCTTGCAGGAGGGACACATGGAAAACCTTGCTGAATGAAAGGCTGTGGGTGCCGCGTGTCAATGGATTCACCTGGGATCCCTAAGCAGTTGTCAGACACTCAAACTCTAGCACTCTTACCTCAGAGCGCTGTGAGGAGTTGCTTATCCCAACACTCACTGAAATGCACATCAACCTGGCGCCAAGTGGCTGGCCTAGTCTCTTCTGTAATGGTGTCACTGAATGCTCAGCATCCACCAAAATGAGATCCCGTGGCCCTCACTGCTGAGCGCTTCATTCAAAACAGACAGCATCACAGTTGGAACTATGGCTCGGAACTGGCAGGGCACACACAGTAACCCCTGATGGGCGTTAACTTAACGTAAGACTCAGGACACCTTCACCTTCTGCCCTCAACCACGAGGCGCTCCTCGTGCTGCTGCTCCCCACCCTACCCACCCCCCCACCCCCGATTTCTCCATCATAGACCTTTCAACCTGGTTCTTTCCAGCCCTGACCAAGTAGCCAGGCCACTGTCCCGTGGCCCAGGGCCTATGCCATGTAGGTCCTTGCTCCCACTTTATAAAGTCAGCCACCTGCTACACCGCTTGAATTTCTGCCCACTGGCAGAAGCACCTTCACCATCTTGCTTTAGGACTACCTGACTGGCACTGTAACATGGCAGCCAGCTCACTGTTAGCCAGCGCCAAGATTCCGTGGTCTTTCTCTCCCACTGTGCTGATACAGGGCAGGTGGCTAGTTAACTTCCCCACCATGGCAGGTTCAGGGCAAATTTCTGCTATGAGTGAAGGTCTTTGGCGCTGAAGTCTCTGTGCTTTCCCTTTGTAACCCCACCGTGAAGGTACTGGGCTGAAAAATACGGAGTTCCTCCTGTGAGTTCCTTGCCCAGTGGGTAAGCACTATGGCTCTAGTGACCCTCCAGAGAGCAGTCCAGGAAAAGGTCAGTAGTGCCAGACCCCGTGCTACTCAGTGTCTGAAGGTCCACTTCAGGTGTCGCAGTTTGAAAGCCACTGCTATAGAAGCCTGGAAAAAAATCAGGTTAGTGTGAGCCAATCCTGGCTCACCAACTGCAATCCAGCCAGTGGGGAGATTAATACGGAAACAGAAAAGTCACGAAATCTGTAAGAGGTCTGCCCTTTGTTTCCAGATATTCACAACTTACAGGGTACTTCAAAGTATTGGGTGACTAAATTTACCCTCCTTTTTTCTAAAATCTCCCATGGTAAGCATTTATTTCTGGAAAACATGCCCAGAATGTTTAAGAGTTACAATATTATTTTAAAATGTAAAAATTAATTCCTGCTAGCAAGTATCATCAGCGTAGGCACCTGAACCACACAGAGCAACTTGAGTATTAGAGGTTTGCAAGCTGAGAGGGAGGAGGAGAGAGAGTGCGAAGTTCCAAGTGTTTCTGCAGTGTTTATTTTCCTGGAATTTCAGCCTTGTTTATTGGATGAGAATGGTCAGTCCAGGACAGTTGGCAAATTCCAGGTAAAAATGTGCCTACAGTTTGACTTTTAGTTATGTTATGACACTCTCCAGGCAAGGGGACAGACTGGCAGTACCCAGAAGAAAGGCAAGAAACAGACATGGCCTTCCTTGAGGGAGGCCTCCAGACCACCTGGAGCAGGGTCAGGCTGCAACAGAGCACACCAGGCCTCCCTGCACGCCCCGAATCAGAGCAGCACCCGCAAAAACAACCTGTGGGGTGCTTAGGTCTACCCAGTGCACATGCAGGCTTGCTAAATGAGTGCTTGTGTGTGCTGTCAGGCCGGTCCCAGTCAGCTCCATCATTTAGGCTGCAGGGTATTGATGAAATGGTATGCGAACCTCCATCTGTCCCTACCACGTAGTGGAGGTGTGGCTGTGCATACCAGAAACATGCTGATTGAAGCAAGACATTTTGTTTCAAGAAGTAGATGTGTAGTGAACCTGGAATTTAAAAGCATTTCCAAAAAATAAGAAGCCTTACTTTAAGAGACACAGTGTATCTGACTTGTGCAAAATGAAATTCCTCTAAGAAGTCGCATTATCTGTGGACCGTCAGAGGACAAATGTTGCACTGTAAATTGCCAGCTGGTCACCTGGCAAAGGAACAGGAGGGACAGGAGGGGCCATGCATCATGCTATTGCGCAGAGACACAGAGTGATCCAGAGACTAAAAGGGGTCAGTGCTGCAGCAAGTGCTGTTCAAGGAGGCTGCTGCCAGGGAGCCTTCAAAACTAGAGGGGACACAGAACAAGAGGAACAGCAGGCTCTGAAGAGGCCTGGCTTCTGTGGAAAGCTATAAAAGGTTCCATTTTTCTAGGTTTTCCCCCTGAAAATCAGAATGCCATTAGAAAGTATATTTGACTGCAAAGCATCCACCTTTTCCATGTGTCCTGTCATAGTTACAAGAAGAATGTTGGGCTGGGGATTTAGCTCAGCGGCATAAGCACCTGCCTTACAAGAGGTAGTCGTGAGCTCGATCCCCAGTACCGATTAAAGGGAAAAAGACAAAAAAAAAAAAAAGAAGAATGTTAATCATGGTTAATCAGGGTGACACCAACTGCCACAACAAACCAACCCTCGGCAAAGCCTGTAAGAGCTCAAGGACAAAGGATGCTCTCTTTTTTAAATTTAAAACCAGAAAAGAAAAAAGTAAAAACAATGATACAGAATTTCAAAACAGAGGATTAGGGGATTAGCAATGGTTAATGTGTTGTGTATTGTTGTTTTCAAAGTAGTTCAGATAATCAGACATATGCATGAAAAAATGATCAAACAATGAAAGCACCAACTATTGGGGTTTTTGGACTACCAGAGGAGTATTTATCTATTATATATATATATATATATATATATATATATATATGCCCTTCTTTCTTCTCTTTCCCCCACCCTGGTTGTTCCTTCTCTTTTTAGCATTTCCTCCACAATATCTACTGTACATTTTGGACCCCACGAACTCCTTCAGTTTTCTGTACTAGGGAGACAATGCGATGTTCTCCCATGGGAGTCCGAACATCTCACCCACGAGCGAGATGAGCTGAAGGGCGCCTGCTTCTTGGGGCGTGCTAGAGGGAGGGAGGGAGGGATTCCCAGCTCTCTTCCACGAGGCAGTTCAGAGCCTCGGGCTCCATCTGCTTTCTTGCTGTCTTCCACATCAAGACACTGGAATGCACGGCGTGTGGTGAGTGAGCGCCTGTCTCTTAGGATCCCTGGCCAAAACCTCCTATACAGCCCATCTACTCACAAAGCAGGGGCTGGAACTGAGTCACGTGGGTCCTTACCTGCACGGGGCCGGGAACGTGGTCTAGCTGCACACCTGGGAACGAGCAGGTTTTTCAGTGAAGAGCTGCCCTCTGCTTGGGATCAGACCGATGCTTTAGTCACTGTCACGGAGGTAGACGCAGCTGTGCACCACAGGCTTGGTGAAGCAGACATCAGTGACCTGAATGAAAAACCTGAGTGACTGCTGAGATCAGAGGGTAACAGTCATCAACACTACAAGGAACTGAGTACACGCGTTTTTTGGAGACAGGGTCTCCCTACGTAGTTCAGGCTGGCCTTGAACTTGGTAGGTAACCCAGGCTGGCCTCAATCCTCCTGCCTCAGCCTCCCAAGTGATAGAATTGGATGTGCACCACCACACCCACCTGCATGCACCTTTCTATGCTATTTATAGATTATCTTATTTGATTCTAAGTATTTTGGGTTAACAGATGAAACAGTGGAAGTAGTAGAAGCCATTCTGAGTCCAGATTCTTCATTCTTACTCACTGTGCTTTCTGCCCCACCGGGTGTGTGTGTGTGTGTGTGTGTGTGTGTGTGTGTGTGCATGTATTTTGTTTTTTTTATACAAGGTGTTGCCCAGGTGGGTTCCAAACTCCTAGATTCAAGTGATCTTCCTACCTCAGCCTCCGAAGTAGCTGGACTCCAGGTATGAACCACTGCACCAGCTTCAGAGTGTAAATTTTAGCCACAAATGTTATCGGTGTACATGAGGAACCAATTTTTAGAATTCTATAATCCTAATTTTAGGGTGATTTAAATTGCCATGTTGGATTCCTTGATGGAGTACACAGAACTCACCAACAATTTTTTTAAGTTTGAATTTCCATTTTAATACAGTGATAACCTTAAAAAATACCGTGGCAGGTGTCAATTGCAGCCTGTAGATTTATGTATGTAAGATGGTATTTAATTTTCCTTAAATATTTCCAACCATCTCACCAGGAAAGCACACAATTTATCCTCCGATCACTGCGGTGCCAACTGACACCACCACCAATTCTGCCACAATGTTATGGTCTCCCACAGGGCACACACACCAGTTCACTGGGGTGAAGGTTGAATGGGCGGGGATACTGGCCTCCAGCCTTATGCAGGGCCTCTCACTGGCCACATCTCACCAAAGAGCCAGAAAACCCAATGGTGCCATCTGTGAAGATCAGCCGCCCAGTGCGGAGGGCAGGGTGGAGAAAGGCAGGGAAGATGCAGACGTAGGAATAAAAGATGACACGGAGGAAGAATCTCTCCTGAAATGTTTCTGTCATGTGGAACCTAGGGAACACAAGCCAAGAAGGCATGAAAGCAATTCCTGCTTTACCTCCTGCTAGAGCTTCCCCATGAAGTTATAGACGCCAAACACAACCCCCTGCTTAATTATTGGGTGGGAACAAAGGGAAAGGCTGGAGAAGAAACATAGAAATCAACCAACAAATTAATATCTCAAAATATTGTCCAGCAATCTAAGCGCATTTTGAACAACCTGGATCACCATCTTACAATCTACTTTGTCAGGTTCTGCCTTTACATTTAGTAACATGTTAGCTCAAGTATTTCTTCATTCATTAACTTTCACTATGGTAAGCAGCTTTGTGTTATACCTGAGATAATCAGCTTAACAAGAAGAAAGTCTTATTTTTGTTCACAGTCCACAGTCAGGTGGCTCCATTGCTTTTGGGCCCACGGCAAAGCAGATCATCACGTGGCGGAGCAAGCTGCTGACCTCAACCCTGCCGGGAAGCAGTCAGGAAGAAGGGCTGGATTCCAAAGATTTCCCTTAAATCATGGTCCCAATGACTAAAAGATGGTGATGTCTCATCTCCTAAAGATGCCACAGCTTCCTAAAAGCTCCAGACTAGGACTCAGCCTTTCCTGCAGGGGCCTTGGGGAGACGTTCTAGATCCAAATGATAGCATCTCCAATCAATCACTGTGCACTGAGCACGTATTGTTCTAGACATTAAGAAACAGTGACAATGGTAGACGAAGGTCCCGCCCTCAGTGAGCAGACATGGGACTAATGAAACAAGGCCGGAAATGGATTTTATAATGAAAGAATCATATAAGTAAATTCTATCACAGTGTCCTACAAAAATCTTGAAATTTTTTTCATAGTAGCTCAAAGAAAAAAAAACCTGATTTGGAAATGGAATAATTACATGGCAGGCAGAAATGTCAAACTGAAGAAAACACTTGTACTCTAGGCCAAATTGTATTTATATTGTCAACTGCTCTTTTACTTCAACAAAACAGTATAAATTACTGTTACATTTAGACCTGAAATGTCCTCCAAAGCCTCGTTGTTCAGGGGTGAGGCCTGGTCAGAAAAGGTCGCTCACCAGGAGCCTGACCTGGAAGGGTGTATTTTTGTCCTTGTCTTCTCTGCCTCCTGGGTGCCGTGAGCTCAGCAGCTTCCATCCTCCCACCATGCCACACCTGCCTGAGAGTTGGTCAACCATGACTGAACTCTGCAAAACAAACCTCTCCTTTATGATTGTCATTTTATCCCGGGGACTGGAAAGTGACAGACAATTACTACAGTGCTTATTAATGCATATTATTAGTGCATATTAATAATGGTGCTATTGTTTGCTATCGACAAAATTCTGCTTCCATTTGTGTGTATAGGCAAATATGTGTGATACACATGCACACAGTAAAACCTTCAACTGTGTAACCCTAACTTGTTCCATGAGTGTTCAAGACTATAAAACGTTTCTAATAAATTTTAACTTTATAAACGAGCAATGCCTTACAATATGAGCGCTATGGAACACCAAGATCACATGATCACACCTGAACAACACCTCTGTCTTCTCACTCATGCTCCTTCACTCATCGCAGGATTACGGTGGTGGTCTTCCAACAGCAAGAGGTTACCAAGGAGGTCTTGTCTGCAGAGAAGGAGGAGAAAAGGTAAGGAACCCCCTGCCTCAAATGAAATTAGGGAGCTGTTTCAATATGGGAAATGGTGCCACACCGTATAGAAAAGCCCCGCCCAAATAAGGCTGCAATCCAGTATCACAGCTCCATGAAATTCCAAGAGACAAAAGCAAGCATCATTTAATTGGGTCCTTGTTAAGGCTGCAGGAAGAGATAAAGATCCCGCAGAGCTAGTAGATAGCAAGCCATTCTGTGGGTGAAAATCACCCTGCTCAGTAAGGCCCCTCTTACCCCTCATGGGCCATCAAAATTACATCTAAGGTAAGTGCAGGTTAATGCTTTTCTTTATATTTTGTATTTGCATTACTTTTTTTTATATTACTGCTTCACTACTGTATTATATGTATTTAATCATTTTTACACAAGTATTTTTGGGTTGTGGAATGAATCATCTGAGTTTCCATTATTTCTTATGGGGAAATTGCTTTTTTTATATACAAGTGCTTTGCATTATAAACATGTTTCTGAAATGAATTATGCTTGCAAACCAAGGTTTTAGAATATGTATACAGTAAAATTTTGGTTTGTGAACAATATATGTGTGTATATGCATACTGAGAAAATTTATAGAGAGAGACAAAGAAGAGTTTGGCTATGTTGCCGGGACTGATCCAGAACTTATGAGCAAGTGATCGTCCTGCCTCAGTCCTCAATAGCCAGGACTACAAGCTGCGCCCACACACCCAGCCCTTTATTTGCATGTTTACTTTTAATTCTGGGGTAAAATAAATGTCAAAAGCCTCAGCTATTTATATCTATTTTTACACTTGCTCACTTAAACATAAAATTTTAGTCAGTGCAAGGAGCCTATGGCAATGTTCTCTAAAAAAGTGTTGCACTAACTTGGGAAGCATTGGGGCAACGCAGCTGGACTTCATATTGTTCAAATCTCAGCTTCCCCATCCACTACAAGAGTTATTCAATCTCTATCAACTTCCACTTTCTCCTCCATGAAACGGGACGAAATAACAGACTGCAGGATTATACTGCGGATGGGATCATTCGGGGAAAACCCTGCTGCGCTGCAGCATCTCCTCCGGAATGCCGAGTCCCATTCCTTTCAGCACTTTTCAAAATAAGTAATACAAAGAAAGCATGTGAAATGGCAAGCGAATAAGGCCATGTATTTAAAGAACTCTCTCTCGTCAGGAAAACAGAACCACAATTTAGTCTGGAAAATTTTCATCTTAGCAACTAGAAAAATGATCAACCTGAAAATGAAACGGAAAAAATAAACTGTATGTAATTAAGAAAAACAGTGCTCATACAATAAATCTCAGTCCTGTTCCAATTTTTGAGAAAGACATGAAATGTTGGAGATGTCACCCATCAAAATTTCTCTGAAGGTAGCTTACTACTATTTAAGAAGACGTTTCTTTTTTTAGGGGGGAGGGGATACCAAGGATTAAACTCACAGCCTCATGCTGGCCAGGCAGGTGCCTAAGCCACTGAGCTAAATCCCTGGCCTAAACGACAATTTCTAAGTAGTGTAATTTCCTGGCACTGTCTATCCTGGGCACCCAGTTCTCCCTGTAGTAATATGGGCAGGGTCTGTTGCCCCGTCACTAGCAAAGGGTCTTTCTGGCCTTTATGTTTGCAAGGGTTTAAAGTTGATTTCACGTCCAGCCTTTAAGAACAGCTCCTCTCTGATCTGTCAACCCCGATAATGGTTTTGTTGTCTTGGTCCCTCAAATCCCTCCAACTTGAGAGCTGTTTTGAAACTTAAGCTGGTGCTAGTGTTTTCTCTCCTAAGGACTTTATCCCTAGGTCTAAGGAGTTGGGCTAGAATTATGTTGCCCCACGTTGGAAGAACCACATCTCTACTGAGGTTCAAGCTAAACGTGCATTTCTGAATAGCTCAGGCCACTGAGTCTTCTAAGTGTGACATCAGCAATTACCTCTTCCCTTCCCAAACACATACACAATGTAAGAAAAACTCAGGACTCAGGGCAGAGGCAGAGAGCATAAATGAATGGATCAGGGAACGTGATGACTAAGCTGAGTCTCAACTACAACAAGGATTTAACTGCTAAAAGCAGAGAAGAAAAGTATTCTAGGAGAAAGCAACACTATATGCAGAAGTTACTAGCCTTAAAAGGAACTGAGGGGAGCTAAGACGGGGTAGTATTTGGTTATAAGAGATAAGATAAGATATGTAACAAAGTCAGAACTTTGGAGCTATATACTTCCAAGTTCAAATATCAGTTGTGTAAGTAATTTTTAAATTATATAAGCCCTGGGTTCATTTGCAAACAATATCTCAAAAACAGATGAGTATGCATGTAGGGTACAAAAGGTAACAACTGTGTATGATGTATGCTGAACATATAGAAATGTACTGCTAATATATAAAGTTGAATGATTATGCAGAGCCAGATTACCAATAGTTTTGAATGCAAACCTAATTACTAAACCAACTTCCACCACCCCTGGTAGGGATTGAACTCAGAGCCTTCACAGTGAGCTACTTCCCAAACTTTTAAAAAATTTTGAGGCACGGGTCTTGCAAAATCACTAAATTGCCCAACTGGGGCTCCAATTTGTAATTTTCCTGCCTCAACCTCCCAGAGTAATGTGATTATAAGCACAAACACCACACCTGGCTTAAACTAATTCTTAAAAGCTGTCTGGAGCTGCTACAGGATCTTCAGCTGGCAAGTGGATTAAGCAAGTTTATTTTTATTAAGACATTGAAGAACCAGGCGGTGTGCTAAATACTATGGGTGAGATGTTTAAATCAAATGCTATCTCAGACTCTTACTGTATATTTTGTCATCATCTAACCTTACAATTTGGTGCACGTCTGGCACTAACTTCAAAACAGGAAGCTCTTCACTACTTTCCATCCCGAGCCCCAACAGAGTGGGTGGAAGCTGGAGCTTGATCAAGAAACACTGTAGTGGAAAGTCTAACCAGAACACACGGAAGGGATCTCTTCCAGCCTCAGGGCAAATCACTGCATTTTCCTTAGAGATACTGTTAAATAACATACATTAAAGCTCACAAAACTTTGAGATAATCATAACTTAGCAATTCCCCCAATGAAGGTATCACTTACTTCCTAAACTGACACAAACAACCATCCAAAGAACTCCGTGAAACAAAACCAACCACCAAGATCTTCCTGACTTTCCCAGCATGGAGCTGCTCAGTCCTTTAAAAGCTAATGAAAATGAAATATTCTACCACGACATTGTAGATACCATTTTTGGTAACAGCTGACTTAAAATTTGGCAGTTGAAAGTCAGTCCCAGAATCTACTTCAAATAGGAACATCTAAATACTAATTGTTTTTTCTTTTTTCTTTCAGTCTGTTTTTCCAGGAGCCTGCTCTACTGCAGATATTTTCATGCAAATGCTGCCCTCTTGTGGTAAGCACCAATTACTTCAAAGGAAGTATTTCAGTGGAATTTAACATCATTTGTGTTATTGCAGATAGAAAAACACAAAGTTAAATGATTATAACAGGAAAAACAAAATGCTCTTTCTTTTGCAGTCCCAAGAACTTTCTATTTTTTCTTCTGTGGTTTTCATATTAAAATTGGCTTTATTGTGCTATTCGAATTTATAAAACATGATTACAACCAGTGAAAGATTTTTTTTTTTTTTGTATCAGGGTCAAACTCACAACCTCATGCTTGCCAGGCAAGTGTTTATGCCTCTGAGCTAAATCCCCTGCCTGAAAGATTTATTCTTGCTGAACCCAATTCTCTTATTTTCCCTGAGTGACATACTCATGAAATGCTTTAAAATTTATTAATTCATTGATCAACACTTTGCAATTCTAATTATGTGGCATTATCATATCATATACCATTAATGTTTCTGTATTATACACATGTAAGGACTCTCTTGTGTAATACCTAAAGAATTCTGGACTTAAGGTTATTAGATCTTTCACATTACTAGGATGCTAAGTTCTCTTCTAAAAAGCTTGTACCAATGCTACATCCTCAGGTTCCCACACACACACCTTTTTGAGATAGATCTCTAAATTGCCCAAGCTGGGCTTGAACTTGCAATCCTCCTGCCTCAGTTTCCCACCGCCAGGCTTTTTAATTTATGTCAATCCAACAGATGAGAAAAGAGTATTTTAGTACTCCTGATTACTTGTGAAGCAGCCTTTCACTTCCTCTTCTCCATTAATTTCCTGTTTGTCTTTTGCAATTTATAGTTTGGTTGTTTGCCATTTTCTTATGTACACAAGTTTTTCACACATTCTTACTCATCACAAGCTATGAGATGCAACTATGTCCTACCACTCTAAGTGTTATCTTTTCTCTTATTATAGTGTCTCTTGGTGAGCCAAAGTTAATCGTAACATAGTCAAAATGGCTACAGTATGGAAGAATGGATCTTTTTCTTTCTTTTGAAGGGAATAAAACAATAAAATGAAACAAAAGTGATAAGCCAGTAGGAAATCTACAACAGTTACTATACTGTATACTGTTAACCTCCAAATAATTCCCCAGACTACTAGCTTTGGGTTTGCAAAGTCAATCGTTAACAAGTGTTAGGTTGTTTCTTTACTTCAGTTATTATGGTCTCAGCCTGTATTCCTTCGAATCAGATGGTCACTGGAGGGGGACGCTCCCTACTGGTTCTCCCTGGCTGGCAGGTCCACTGAAGGCACACAGGAGGGTTGCACAGCTTTCTTCGTGGTTCTGCCCAGGATCTTTTTCTTTATGATTGTTTTCTGAATTTTAACAAGTTCCTCTGTACACCAAAGTAATTAACATACACTGTAAACAGCTTAGTGCTATACTTTATTCTCCTTTAGTCTATCCCTAAACTATTACTATTGGATCTTATTTACTGTGGTTATCAGTTTGTATTGGGTAGGGAAAGCTTTTAATTTTGGCAAAGCCCTCTTTATCAGTTCTGGAGCTAAGAATGTAGCATGGTGATACAGTGCTTGCCTAACACACACAAGGCTCCTCAGCATTGCAAA